AGACATAGCCTTTATGGATCTGGGAACTGCCATAGAAAATAGACTAGTATAAGTGAGTGTGCTCAGTCGTGTCTGACTCTGCAACCCTATGGACTGTAGCCCACCAGGCTCCTCTGTCCATGGGATTTCTCAGGCAAGAATACTGGAGTGCGTTGCTATTTCCTATTACAGGGGATATTCCTGACCCAGGTGTCTCAGTGGTAAAGAATCCTTCTAACAATGAAAGACGGTTCCTGCATTGGCAGGAAGATTCTTCATCAAATGGCACCACCTGGAAAGCCTGAAATAGTTTCATTTTTTCTTTTGGCCTCGCTGTGATGCCTGCAGGATCTTAGTTTCCTGACCAGTAGTTGAACCTGTGACCCCTGCAGTGGAAGCATGGAGTCTTAACCACTGCACTGCCAGGGAAGTCGCAAGAACCAATTTCTATCATTTATTGTGTTCCTTCTACACCATAGTCTTCCCTGGTAGCTCAGATGGTAAAGAGTCTGCTTGCAGTGCAAGAGACCCAGGTTCTATCCCTGGAGAAGATCTCCTGGAGAAAGAAATGGCAATATACTCCAGTATTCTTGCCTCCGGTGGACAGAGGAGCCTGGTGCGATACAGTCAATAGGGTTGCAAAGAACTGGACATGGCTTAGCTATTAAACAATAACAGCAACAAGGGAACAGTAATTGGGATAATAATCTAGCATGGCTTTCTTTTTTTTCTTTTTGGTTTGGAAAATTTTCAGTCCTGTCTGTTTTTATTTTTCCAGATTATGTTTTTTATTTTCTTATTTTGCGTTCTGGGTTCAGTTATGAGCTCTTCCTCTTATTTGAGTAACCTTTTATCTCTCATTTTACCTAGCCTCAGTTTCCCAAAATGTAAAATATTTCCTCATAGGTTATAAATAACAGATCCAGTTCCTGTCACTCAGAAAATGTGTGATAAGTGTTAGTGTCCGTACTTCTGGTCTTACTTGCACGCGCATGGGCTAAGTCACTTCATTTGTGTCTGATTCTGTGGACTGTAGCCCACAGACTCCTCTCTCCTTGGGATTCTCCAGGCAAGAATGCTGGAGTGGGTTGCCATTTCCTCCTTCAGGAAATCTTCCCAACCCAGCAATCCAACCCTAGTCTCTTATTATGTCTCTGGAATTGGCATGCAGGTTCTTTACCACTAGCGCCACCTGGAAAATCCTTGGTATTATTACTCCTCAGACAAGTGAGTGAGAACTGCCCCACTTTTTTGAAATTAAGGTGGAGATAAATCCTCTAAGAAGCTTGGAAAAGTCTAGGAAATGTGGGAAAACAGAACAGAGCCTCCCAGGGATGGAGCTGAAGATCAGAACCCAAGGCTAGATATGACATGTTGTTGACTGAAGCTGGGTTCAAGGTGAGGATATAGAATCGAGAGGAACGAGTAGTTTGCCTGAGGATGGAGATGAGAAATGAAGAGTGATCTGAGCCCTCAGACAGGCAGCATCAAGGACCCAGCCAGCACCACGTGTGCTGGAAGGGCCCCTCCTATGGGCGTGAGTGTCTTAGGGGGGCTGGGAAAGCCCAGACTCTTGGGACTCCAGGCAGAGGGCTTCTCCTTGGCTTGCCTGGCTGCCTTTAGTTATTTAGAGGAAATGCTGACTTCCAGGACCTTGGAAATGCCCCACTGTCCTTTGGCAAGGGCAGAGCAGGTGCTAGACAGGTAAGACTGAGGCTGTATCTTGGGCTGGAATCTGGAGAGGGGCTGGGTCTTCACGTATGACCGTAATCTGGCCATAGGTGAGGTATGATCATCTTGGCACTGTGACCACAGCATCTGGACTGAAGCTCAAAGGAAAGAAAGATTCTTAATTCCTCCCCTCTCTGAGCCAGAGGGTAGAAGCTGCCTAGGGGTGGGGTGTTTCAGTGAGCTCATTTTCTGCTCCAGATTGAGAGGGTCATTAGTGGCAATGCTCAGGGGAGTGAAAGGTCTAGAGAGGTAAGGAGGCTCACACATGTCTGGCAAAAGCTGTACTGGAGGGATTTCCTGCTTTGGGGTGGAGGCTGGGCCCCTTCCTGCTGTATAATCTCATCATAGATGCCCCCCTCCCATGATGGCTGGGAAAAAGATAAGGTGTAGTTTTGCTTAGCCGCTGAGAGCTCTGGGGAGTGGGGGCTGTGGGAGAGCAGTTATCTGAAACCACAAACCTCAAGAGCAAGCAGAGAGCTGATGTCAGCTCTATCAGGGAGTGCCAGAAACACGCTAAAAGCCAGGACTCCTGGTGAAGAAAACCAGGAGAGTGCACGCCCTAGAAAATAGCTAGGATACAGGCTGTCAACAGAACCTGACCACCTGCCCTTGACTTTTGCATGAAGCAGGGAGTGTGGGAAGGCTGGCTGGGTTTTAAGGGCTCGGGAGGTGACTGCCATAGTGGTTAACTCTGACTTTTCTTTTGGGGTTCCTACAGTTAGATCCAAAAACAATGCCAGAGTGTTTCAGAAATGCCTTACACACAGACAATGGCGTTTGAATAGTGACTTTCAAAGACCAATTCTTAGAGAATAACTTTTTGTAGGTGTTTACATTACAAAAATCAGTGTCAATTTCAATAAGATAATTTTGCAGTCAGTTGCATTTCTGTCTACAGTGACAACAAAAAACAGTAGTGACAACTGATTTATGTTTAATATTTGGGAAATGAAAGAGAACTGTGAAAAGAAAGATTTTAATTCTCAGTAAGAAAAATAGAATAAGACTTGAATAAATGAAGAGATATTTTCTGTCCTAGAATCAGAAGATTTAAAATAGTAAGATGACATAATATCTAATCTAATGTATGGAGTTAACACAAATTAGATTCCATATGATATTTTGTGGAAATTGACAAAACAATAATACAATTTCTATAGAGAAAATAATGGTTAAGCACATTAAGGAAATTTTTGAGAAGAAATGAACCAATAATAGGATAAATTATTCTGTTAATATTTAAAATGTGGTACGAAGGACATTTATATTGTATGGTATCAGATGCAAAGCAGAGTAGTAGATTGATAAAAACATAAGGATTCCCTGCATTCTAAATTTGCTAAAGAGTTAACAAACAATCATTCTGGACAACAAAATAGTAAGAAAGGAATCCTATTTAATAGATGTTACTGAGAAAAGATATAAAGCACTTCTCTCTTCCTCTGATGCTTGTTGTCAAAATGAGCTCCAGATATTTTAAAGTTGAAAATATCTCTTTTAAAAGTGAAACAAAATGATATATTATAGTTATCCAGCTGTGGTGGAGGAATTAATTCCTTGAGTATTAAAACAGTGGGCTAAATTACAAGTGGTGAATTGGAAGGATCTGATTGTATAAAAATTGAGCAACAGCAAGCTTAATAAGTTCTTGATAAAAGGGAAAAGTGCAAAACTATTTGAAATAAACAAGGCTGGTAAAGATTAGTATTAAAGATATAAAGAACAATTATAAATCTATAGATAAACTGTTAAAAGATATGAACAAATAGTATAAGAGGAAATACGAGCATCAAACCTACGTTCGGAATATTTCAGTCTTGCTAATAATTAAAGTGCAAATTAAAAGTATGAATCTATTTCTTAGTTAAGTAGCAAAAGTGGTAAAACTGTATGTTCATGTGCTTGGAGGGAAATAGACACACTCTCTAGATTTACGAGTATGTTTTCTGCAGAGCAGGAGATGAAAAATGAAACACTCACCACTTAGGCAGTATTCTCAAATAAATCTCAAGAAAATAATGTGAAAGAGGAAAGGCTTATAAAGATTATATAGTGAAATTCTGGCCATTACCTAACCACCTGACAATTTGTTAATGGTTGTACAAACTGGAAAATATTAACATCCCATCACATTAGCAACTGTTAAAACCATAAACCTCAGGATGTTGGTGATATTATAGGGAACGTATGTATATAAGTTAAGAAGTAGAAGACATTTGTTAGGTGAACATTGGTAATTGTCAAATTATGTTTGTCTAATGAAAACATCAGTGCTGTCAGCGTCTCAATGCTAGGTCTAATAAGTCAGTGCTTGTGGGATGTCAGTGTGATTATAATTTGGGGGTCTTATTGAAAGGCAGATTTTGATTCACACAAACTGGGGTGGAGCCTGGGATATTCTAAATTTATGATAATGGTAAAGTTACTCCTCCCACCTCAATTTTAAGAGCAAATGCTTAAATCTCTGCCATGCAGTCTCATGGACACTAGTCATATGAGGCTATTCAAATTTAGATTAATTGAAATAAAATGGAAAATTTAGTTTCCTAAGTCTTATTACCTATATTTCAAGTGTGCATTAGTCATGTATGGCTTACATCTCAGAAAGCTCAGATTATAGAACAAGTCCATCATCACAGAAAATTTTGTCAGACCTAAATCATCAGTCTTAAAGTGAAGGAGATTTTTATCAGTTTTTTGGTAAAGTTGTTTGAAATATGCGATTACAAGCTTGTTCCATTCCTTTGTAGTCATAAACCACATAGGTATACATTCATAGAAGTGATGAAGCAAGGGACAGTTTTATCTAGTTTAGTTTGATCAATGAAATTCTTTTATCCCATTGATTTTATTGTCATTCCATAGATGTGTTATCCTAATTATTATTTGCCTCTCAATGGGCAATCATTTCCACTAAATTGGTTTCAGTTTCTTTGCTATTTTTTCCTCATCTTACATAATTAACATATACTAGAGGAGATATTTAAAGGATTGCAATAAATTAAAGTATAACGTGTATGTTGTTAATCAGCTATACCCCAATACAAAATAAAAAGTAAAAAAAAAAAGAATACATGTGTATAATTTATGAAGAGATCCTCACATTCTCTTTTCCTATCTAGGTGTTTCATCAATTTATATTTTTAAAGTGTATTTTTGAAGCTGGACCAACCTTGTGTTCGTTACCCAAGGATGTGGGCATTGATTTTCATTTGAAAGGTTTCCTGGATGGTTGCTTTTTCTTTATTTTCTGTGAAGTGGAAACGCTGACCATTGTTATTTTCTTCCAGGAATTTATGCAAATATTCTCACGAGGTTCTCTCAGAAGATAACTTCAGGGTCCTGACAAACCATGGGCTCTCTGGACTGAACCAAGAGGAATTAGCTGTGCTCCTTCTCCAGAGTGACCCTTTTTTTATGCCCGAGGTAAGTTCTGATTCCTCAGTTGGAAAAGCAAGGAGAATGCCTCTGGCAGTGTGGTGTCATGTGTGTGTTGGAATGGGAGCAGAGAAAACCCGGCACCGGGGCTCTGCAGGTGGCAGTCAGCAGGTGGCTGTTGCTAAGTGATCTGGAGATTCCAACAGTTTCCTTCTTATTTGAAGTTTAATAAGTATTTAAGTCTGGAATGCCTCCTCCCCTGGACTGCTCGGGAACCCTGTGTGAGCAGTGTGATCAGAAGAACTAGCAATAAGACCTTACAGCCGAGTGACTTCCTGGAAGAGGTGGGCTTTGAAGCAAGGTTTTGGAAGATGTCAGGGTATATTGCTTGAGGCTAAGTTGTAGCAAAGAGATCTCAAAATGCAGGGATTCAAATAAAATATTACTGTTTCTCCATCTCTTGGTAGTCTAGATCTGAGGTCACTATAGTCCATGGACCACATCCCACCTGCCACCTGTTTTTGTAGTTTAATTGGAACACAGCCACACTCATTCATTTGTATATTGTCTATGGCAACTTTCTCATACAAGAGTGAGTTGAGTGTTCACAACAGAGATCGATGGCCTGCCTAGCCTAAAATATTTACTATTTGATCATTTATGCTAATAGTTTGCTGACTTTTGGTCTTGCCTAGAGGTAGGCAGGCAGGTAGTCTGATGGTCAGGCAGCTGAATTCCATGATGTCATGTAGGCACTCAGGCCAGCAGGTCAGCCTTGTTATCCTATATATAATAGATCTGTTTTATTACTGGATCAGTAGATATCTCTGTTCTCTTTTAACATATGGCTTCCTCCTCACGGTACGAAGAGGCTCTTTTCAGCATTGTCATTTTTCTAGCCAACAGGAACGTAGAGAAGGAGTAAGTAAAAGGCAAGCTGCTTCCTTTTTAAAAAGATGTGACTTGGATATTGTATCTCATTCATTGTATGCTCCATCTCATTCACCAGAACTTATCACGTGACTGCACTTAGGGAGAAGGCAGCCTGGGAAATGTAGTTTTTTGGCTGGGTAACTACATGTCCAGCTAAAACTTGGAAGCTTCTATTATTAAAAGAAGGATAAGAATGATCTCAGATAATGAACAGTCTCATCCATATAGGAATATTGACTTGAAAATCAGAGGATGCTGCTTTAAAAATGGTATCTGAGAATGATCTGAGAAAAATCCTTGGGTAAAGAAGTTAGCCTAAGAGAGGCCCAGAAATGTAATGGAAGCCTCAAGTTGAGAGGATGGAAGGGACTGAGATAAGATAACAAGGTTGAAATTTGGTCGTGCTTTTATGTATGACAAGATAGCTATTAGGGACATCTGGAGGGTTAAACATCTTTTGACTCTAAGTTCAGTGTGTTTCCCTGAGGACTTAGGAAAACTTAGACACGTGGGTTGATTTTGCGTTGATTACTGAGCTCAGGCAAGATAGGAATGCAAGACACTCTGTAAAAATGTCTTCAGAGAGGAAGGGTGGGGAAGGAATATTTAACTATATATAACTCACTTCCCCAGGCATTCTTTCATTTATGTACTTGAGTTTCTCTCTCTCTGTTTCCAGGAACCCAAGGTTCAGAGGTCTTATCTTAGAATCTCTGTGGCCCTTGGCCTATGTGCCAGCCAGCCCAGTCCCTCCTGGCTACCAGTATGGGGAAAATGCCTTACACCCTAACTCTTTAAAGGTCCCATTGACTAACAGAGGCACCCTCTCCTTTCCCTCTCATGTGAAAGAATGACGACAGCTTGTTGTGACTCTTGAGAGAGTGTTGCCCGGGGTCCAACCTGGTGTTAAACTTGCAGGGTTGGAAACGTCACTTACCAGGTCAGCTCTCTGCTGCTGCTCTCCAAATCACCAAGGACTTGCTATATCGCGTCCCTGGAGAATAAGAGAAGTGGCGGCTCTTCCTTTCTCTAGGAAAGAACCTACTGGATGGTGCTGTTGCTGACTTAGCCCAGTAAAAGCCCATTGACAAAAGCGCTGGGAGGCTTCTCGTAGGAGGATGCTGACCTTAATCACACAGAGAGTCTAAAGTGTCACCTGAGGCTCCCTTACAGTACCCATGGATTTTAAGAATTTGGTACCCGTGATTAGAGGGTAGGGTGGAACGGTTTGTGCTTGAAGTTTATTTTTAGCTGATAACTTAATTGCCTTTTACCACATGTAGGGGTAGGATCACAGACTAGCAGACTGCACTGCTTCCTGGGACCAGAGGTCTGAGAAGCTGGTTCCTGTGATAGGAAATCAACTAGAGCATGGATGACATAAGTCTCTATTTGACCATTCTGGGCAAGAGTTGTCTCAAGTGTCTTAACTTGGGAGAGGAGGGTGGAGTATTTTCAAGGTTTTAGCAGGGGAGGGGAGTGGTCAGCCAGAGTTCAGCTAGTTCCAAGGATAGTTGATCAAGGATGGTCCCTCCGTGTCTCTAAGTTCTGTCTTTGCCACCAACTATCTATGTGATCTTGGACAAGGCATTTCATCTTTCAGGGTCTCACTTTACTTACTGTTTGCTTTGCAGTCATTCAGCTAACACTCAGGAGTGCCTGCAAGGGTAGCACTGAGTTAAATCCTGAAGCCAGTGGTGGGCAAGGCACACGCCTGCCCTCAAATACCGAACACGTTCACGCTTTTCCACTTTGCCTTAACCTGTGAGAGCATAAAAGCATGAACTTCCTGGTATATAAACATGGATAATTGAAGTGCATTTATTAAAAGGGAGAAATGGGTCTCATTTGTTCTGGCAGGAGCAGTCTTTCTTAAACATCAGTACTAGGAATGTTAACCGAAGTATCATCTGTGAAGTTGCTAATAATCCTTGTTTCACTCGAGCCTCAAGAATTCTGGGTCTCAAGCTTTAGTGTGGGTCAGAATCACCAGGAGTGATTGTAAAACCCAGATTGCTGGGCTCCTCCTCTGGTCATTCTGGGCTCCTCCTTCCCTGTAGATACAGGGAAGGGCTCAAGGATTTGTATTTCTAGTTAGTTTTTGGTTGGAGCAGATGCTGTTGGTCCAGGGACCGCACTTTGGGAACTGTTGGCCAGGAGTCTTGATTCTGACTCATAGACTCTATCACAATGATATGTATTTGCGTCAGGTTTAGAAGTTGTTTGTATGGCTCAATCATGGTTTAATCCTTGTCTTTTCCACCTCAATACATCACAGAGGCCCATGTTGATCTGGTTTGCTCAGAGTCTGTTGAAACAACTTACAAACACTTTCGTGTTTAAGCCTCTTTGTGTAATGATTCAAACATTTGCATCACATTTTGTATTGTGCACATTACGCATTTTATTATTTAACCTGCTCCACAACATGCTTAAGTGAGGGGAGCAAATATTTTTGTCTTTTACAGCAAGGGCAAGAGGCTGGGAGTAAGTAAGTAACTCAGATGTGAAGTCACGTATAGCTGCTTCTAGCTGCAGACTTCAACCAACATCCCCTAGTCTTATATCACAGGGTCTGGCCTCCCTGACGATGCTTCTCCTGCTCTCCTTTCAGTAAGAATTACATCTCCGTAGAGCTAGATATGTAGATACACCTGTTTACATATAAAAATGATCAACTATCAGTTGGTCTTTTGAGAAACTGCCACATTCTGCCTAGCTCCCAGCAACCGAAGGTAAGACCTCACATTGTTTTGTTTTTTTTTTTCCCCTTTTTGACTGCACCACGTGGCACGCAGGATAACCCATGCCCCCTGCAGTGTTCTTCTAATTGAAGATGGTCTTTTAATTGAAGATGTGTTGATATCCAAAGGTGGGCCTTCCTCTTTGGGATTCCTTTATATGTAGGGCTCCCTTTGGGTCCTGTTTTGTTCTATTTATAGCCGGCCGTCTTATATTGATTCTTCCCAAAGAAATTAATAAAAGTCAAGTTTCTTTTAGTTAGTTTGTAGGCCTCTTCTACCCCAAATAAGTCACTGATCGAACATAACTCAACAAAGATTATAGAGTCATACACATACATTTTTTTCCTGAGATATATCTCTGCTTGTGCTCACGTGCTCAGTTGTGTCTGACCCCATGGACTGTATCCCACCAGGCTCCTCTGGCCATGGGATTTCCCAGGCAAGAATACTGCAGCGGGTTGCCATTTCCTTCTCCAAGGGATCTTCCTGACACAGGGATTGAACCTGCGTCTCCTGCAGCTGCTGCATTACAGGCAGATTCTTTGCCTGCTGAGTCATCAGGGAAGTTTATATCTTTGCTTCTGTTTTTTTTTTTCCTTTCAGGAAATAAGAAAATATGCATTTTTTTCTTACCAGGAAGTAAAAAAATGCATTTTTATTTATTTAATCAATATTTATTGGAGTAGAGTTGATGTACAATGTTGTGTTAGTTTCAGGTGTACTGCAGAGTGAATCAGTTATACCTTTACACAGATCCAACCAGTCCATCCTAAAGGATATCAGTCCTGAATGTTCATCGGAAGGACTGATGTTGAAGCTGAAACTCCAATATTTTGGCCACCTGATGCGAAGAACTGACTCATTTGAAAAGACCCTGATGCTGGGAAAGATTGAAGGCAGGAGGAGAAGGGGACAACAGAGGATGAGATGNCCTGATGCGAAGAACTGACTCATTTGAAAAGACCCTGATGCTGGGAAAGATTGAAGGCAGGAGGAGAAGGGGACAACAGAGGATGAGATGGTTGGATAGCATCACTGATTCAGTGGACATGAGTTTGAATAAACTCTGGGAGTTGGTGATGGACAGGGAGGCCTGGCGTGCTGTGGTCCATAGGGTCGCGAAGAGTCGGACACGACTGAGCAACTGAACTGAACTGAACTGATACATAGATCCATTCTTTTTTAGATTCTGTTCCCATATAGATCATTATATTTACACGAACTTTCCTTAACATGTGGCATATAGAGAAACATGTTTTCTTTCTGGCTCTTGTTTCTTTCTTCTGTAGATATGCAAGAATTATAAGGGCGAGGGTGGAAGACAGGTTTGTAACCAGCAGCCCCCGTGTGAAAGACTCCACGTCTGTGAACACTTTACCCGAGGGAACTGTGGTTATGCCAACTGCTTCCGGTCCCATAACCTGATGGACAGAAAGGTGCTGGCCGTCATGAGGGAGCACGGCCTGAGCTCAAGCGTGGTACAGAACATCCAGGACATCTGCAATAGCAGGCACCGCCGGAAGAAGCCCTCAGCGTGGAGAGGTAAGCTTGGGGGCCTTCTTAACAGGATAAACGGAAATAAACAGAAATCACAAGGAGAGGGAATCTCTACTTATACTCACTCTACCTCATCATGTAAAACTACTTTCCCTTTCGGACCTTGTCAATACGCATACACAATTTTTACATAATTATGATCATAGTATATGTGTGATTTTGCAATTTGATTTCATGCTATTCCATGCATCCACACCACACAGACACACTTCACACTTGGGCACGTTGCCAACATATGCACCTCTCACTAAGGGACATGTGTCACACACTATATGTGCAAACCTCACGTACACACACATACACCCCTCACATATCCACTGTGTATGCATATCACACACACACATGCACACACTTCATATAAACATATATGAACCCACATATAAACATCACATACAAGCACACCACACTTTTTGCACACATGAACACATGCTCACTCCATCCCTTCTCTCTGCTTCCTGGGGCTGTGACTTAACATGTTTCTAGAAAGAGGTCAATTTTTTTTTTTTTAATTTTGGATATCGTTGACTTAAGCTTGGGCATTTGGGGGCCAGATGAACAACTCTGGATAATTCCAAGCTTCAGTGAAATCAGACCTTTCCTTATTTTCTTTTTTTGTTGTTGTTTTAAGTATTGTGACTTCTTAGCTTAGGTACACCTGTGTCACAATATGGGTGAACTCTAAGTGATTTGGGGCACTCATCTCTGATGAGTCCTAGTCTGTCTCTCCAGACTTGAACTTGAAGTCTGTCTCTCTGGGACTTGAACTTGAGGACTGTGGACAGCCCCACCTAAGACAGCGGGCATTAGGAGCTGCATCTAAGTCCCCTGAGAGAAGCCGAGAAGAGCCAGGGTTGGCTCAACCTTTATCCTAGGCCAAAGGTGGTGTTTTCTGCTGGGCTGGCAGGAAGGGGGGATTCTTCCATTGTCATAACAACCTTGTCAGGATTTTCACACAAATTAATTTTTTTTAACTTTTTATTTGATTTTGGAGAATAGTCAGTTAACAATGTTGTGATAGTTTTAGGTGCACAGCGGAGGGACTCAGCCTTATATATACATGTATCCATTCTCCCCCAGACTCCCCTCCCATCCAGGCTGCCATGTACCATTGAGCACAGTTCCCTGTGCTGTACTTGTTCCTTGTTGGTCATCCACTTTAAATACAGCAGTGTGTGTATGTTGATCCCAAATTCCCTAACCATCCCTTCCCTCCATGCTTCCCCCGCTGGTAATCATAAGTTCCTTCTCTAAGTCTATGAGTCTTTTTTTGTTTTGTCAATAAGTTCATTTGTATCATTTCTTTTAAGATTACCCATAGAAGGCATGTCATAGGATATTTCTCATCTATTTGACTTATTTTACTCTAGTATGAAGTAGTATGACACTCTAGGTCCATCTGTGTTGCTGCAAATGGCATTATTCATTCTTTTCTAATGGCTGAGTAGTATTCCATTGTATATATGTACCACATCTTCTTTATTCATTCCTCTGTCAATGGACATTTAGGTTGCCTCCATGTCTTGGCTGGGCTTCCCTGGTAGCTCAGCGGGTAAAGAATCCGCCTGCAATGCAGGAGACACTGGTCCGATTTCTGGGTCGGGACGATCCCCTGGAGGAGGAAATGGCAACCCACTCCAGTATCCTTGCCTGGAGAATTCCCATGGAGAGCAGCCTGGTGGGCTACAGTCCATGGGGTTGCAAAGAGTCAGACGTGGCTAAGCAACTAATCACGGCACAGCACGTGTCTTGGCTGTTGCAAGCAGTGGCAGCGTTTGACTCTGCAGGATTGCTGAATGATAGTGCCAGGTTAATTCACCGCTTCTCCAGCGTGAAAGTTTACGGCTCCGAGGTGGAAAGAGTGAGATCCCTAAGAGTGGTCATGGGGAATTCCTGAAAAGAGTTTTAGACCTCCAAATATACTTACCCACGAAAACGTCTGAACCTCTTTTGCCCGCTGACGAAGTCCTTCCTTTTCTTCTCTCCTGCTGATACTGTTTCTGCTTTACCCCACTCTCATTTCACCTGGCCCCTCTGAGTCCAAATGGGAGGCGGGTACAAAGTTAGTGACGTTAAAGCTAACTTTTGTTGTTTGGTTTTTCTTTCCCAGCTCCTCCTCCCCATCGTAGAGACCCGGCCTACAGAGGGAGGAGTAGGAGCAGAGACCGGGGCAGCGAGGAATTTCATCCAGCAGCTTCAGCTCCTGCCCAGAGGTCCTGCCCACCCAGCCCAAAGCCTGCCGGCCACCGGGGCTCTATCCCGAGTGATGGGCCTGTCGAGGATCTTGCCCACAAATTCTCGCATCTGGAGAGTCAGGAGTGCCCCCCACCTGCCTCTGTCCCGTCTGCAGCTGCCAGTCTTGGAGGAACCAGTCAAGGAGGAGGAAGCCAGAGTCTTGCAGAGAACGGCAGTGCAAAGGATCTTCTCTATGGGAATCATAGCCATGGTTTCTTCAATACTGACGTGAAACCAGCCTTCAAATGGGGGCTCCCTGCATCCTGGCAGAATGACCAGGACACCGGTAAAAAGAGTTGGATTTCCTCCAGTCCAGCCTTCTCCTTCTCTCCTGGTTCTCTGCAAACACCTGAAACCATCACCACCAGAAAGAGCACTGCTGTCCTTTCCTCGGACCATGTGAACGTGGAGCGCAGAAGTGGGAATCAAGATGGCCAGCATTTCCCGCTTTTTAATAATAACGCTGATGGCATGGCCGTAGATACCACTTCCACGAGACTGGCGAATTACCAAACCCCAAGCAGTAGACAGAGAGAAAAATCGTTACCTGGGAATCCGGACACTGGAACACCTCGGAGTCATCTGCCCACCGCTGGCAAGATGACTGGGGATGCAGCCGCAGCCTTTGTTAATGGTAAACACACAGAAGAGACCTTCTGGGCTAGTCAGTCTGTCCACAGTGCCACTATAAGGATGGATTAAGTGATGGATAAAACTACTGTTGTAGGTAAAACTGGTGCCACTGGGTTTGGCTTCATGGCAGCAGTCAAAGGGAAGAAAGATGTGTTACACTCTGGAATTCGGGGGTTAACAAGCAGGTCCTGCCCACACGTGGGGAACCCTCTGCCCCCACACAAGGCAGCACTTGCTCTCCCCAGGGTCCCTTCTTTTTCTTTTCTATAAACAAAATATTTTATACAAGGATGTTAGAATGTTATTATTAATTGATATTAATGTAAGTAAAGACACTGCAGTTAACATAAAGAAATGTACAATGAACATTTCATTTATATTCTTTAACAATTTTCTATATTTAGTTTGTTCATAGTTAAGATGATATTGCACAAGCAATTTTTTATGTTACATTAAGTTTTTACTAATTTGTAATTTAACATGTCTCACCTTGATACAAGGATTCATAAACATCATTTTTACCAAGGTCCTTTCTTTTACACCTTCCTTAAGCAACAGGGCTGCAGCCTAGGGGACCCATGGTCAGAACTCTACTCAAATCCTTGTTACCCCCTCCAGTGAGATGACAAGGGGGGCTCCAGGCTGGGTTCTGTGTGATCAGTGAGGGACAAAGAGGGTCTGCATGGAGTGGCCACGGCTGGTGGTTTCTCTTTGGGTGTTCCTTAACACTACTAAACGGTTTTGGTTAAGGAGTGGTACTGATGAGGACATACGAAGACAGAAGGACCAACCCTAGAACTGTATAGACTAAGTTGCTCCCCTTATTGAGAACAGGAATAGTTCAGCCATGGTTTAAGAAAGCAGCGTGACACTAAGGAACCCTGACTTCATGTTTGTTTTCATGTCTGGGCTCTCATGAGCAATACATGAATCGTAAGAATTTTCTTGAACCTGGCCCCCATTTTAGATATTCTTTCCCGCTGTTAGACCAGGTATCTTGTATTTTTGGTTTAAATGTTACAATTCGCTTACATGCATCCTCTTCTGTTTTGTAGATTCTGTACCTGACATTGCGAGTCCCACATCTTCCACGATGAATGAACACAGCTCAAACGAAATTTGTCTTGACCATCTGTATAAGGGTTGTCGACTTAGTGAGTAACTACCTTAAGGACTTTCTAGAAGCAGAAACATTATTAATAGTAGTATGGCTAGCATTTATTGAATGTTTACTATGTGTTGAGTGCAGTGCTGAGAATCTTACATGCATCTTCTTTAACCTTCAAGTCAGCTTTAGGTTCTTTTGTTAATTCATTTTACAGATGCACAAATAGAAATTGAGTTTTCACCCCAAACCACTTGACCACTGCATGATATTATACTTTCTCCTTTTACAGTTCAGTTTTAGGTGAACCTAATTATTTAATTAATTAAATTAATTATTTACCTTTACACTTAATCAGGGACCCCTCTTTTTACATGTTATGTTTCACATAACATAGATTTTACCATCTTAACCATTTTAAGTATACTGCTCTGTACTGTTGATTACATCATTCATATTGTTGTGCAACTAGTCTCCAGAACTCTTTTCACCTTTTGAAACTGAAACTCTGTACCTCAGTTCAGTCCCTCAGTCATGCCTGACTCTCTGCAACCCCAAGGACTGTAGCACGCCAGGCTTCCCTGCCCATCACCAACTCCCAGAGCTTGCTCAAACTCATGTCCATTGAGTCGGTGATGCCATCCAACCATCTCATCCTCTGACGCCCCTTTCTCCTCCCGCCTTCAATCTTTCCCAACATCAGTTCAGTTCAGTCACTCATTCATGTCCGACCCTCTGCAACCCTGTGGACTGCAGCATGCTAGGCTTCCCTGCCCATCACCAACTCCCAGAGCTTGCTCAAACTCACGTCCATTGAGTCGGTGATGCCATCCAACCATCTCATCCTCTGACGTCCCTTTCTCCTCCCACCTTCCATCTTTCCCAGCATCAGGGTCTTTTCAAATGAGTCACTTCTTCGCATTGGGTGACCAAAGTATTGGAGTTTCAGCTCCAACATCAGTCCTTCCAATGGATATTCAGTACTGATTTCCTTGAAAACAACTCTGTACCTATTAAACAACAACTCCTCATTTCCCCCTTCTGGCAGGGAAGCCCCTGACGACTGCCATTTTGCTTTCTGTCTACGAATATGACTTCTATGTCCCTCATATGAGCGATCTCACACAATATTTGTCCTTTTTCTGACACTGGCTTATTTTACTTAGTACAATATCCTCAAGGTTCAGCCATATTATAAGCTTTGTGAGGATTTTCTCCCTCACGAAGGTTGAACACTATTAGATTGTATTCTATCCCATTTTGTTTATCCACTCATCCTTCTATGGGCACTTGAGTTGCTTCTACCTCTTAGCTATTGTGTATAAGGCTGCTAGGAACACAGGTGTACAAATATCAGTTCTTGCTTTCATTTCTTTTGAGTATATACCCAGAAGTGGAATTGCTGGATTATGTGGTAAATCTGTGTTTAAGTTTTTAAGAAACTGTCACACAGTTTTCTATAGCAGCTGTATCACTTTACATTTTTATCAGCAATGCACAAGGGTTCCAATTTCTCCATATCCTTGTCAACACTTGTAAATTTATTTTTGTTTATTTATAGCAACCATTCTAATGGGTGTGAGGAAGGTTATATTTTTAAATCAGTTAAATTCCTGGCAGTGACATTTCAAAATAATTTAAACAATGCAAATTGTGAAAAATAGAACTGTTTTCTGTCCTCCTGTATTATGAGCTTCTAACATTAATTCATTATTCAGCAAGCATTCATTGAAAGGGCATCCTTTGCATGCCTACCCCTCTGCCAGTGAAGCAAGGAGACATAAGCTAAACAATGATGCAGGCCTTTCTTCAGTAAGTTTGTCATTAAGTGAAAGTAGCTCAGTTGTGTCTGACTCTTTGCAACCATGGCCTGTATAGTCCATGGAATTCTCCAGGCCAGAATACTGGAGTGGGTAGCTTTTCCCTTCTCCAGGGGATCTTCCCAACCGAGGGATCGAACCCAGGTCTCCTGCATTGCGGGTGGATTCTTTCCCAGCGGAGCCACAAGGGAAGCCCAAATTTGTCATTAAAGCTGGGCATCAAAACATCCACAAATTCGGAAATTCCCTGGCAGTCCAGTGGTTAGCCCAGTCTGTGCACTCTCACTGCCAAGGGCTTGGGTTCAATCCCTGGTCAAAGAACTAAGATCCCACAAGCTGTGCAGTGTGGCCCAAAACAAATAGAACATCCACAAATTAGAGAACTGCATAAAGTAAGTAAATACATAACTAATAAAGCACAAACTGTGTCCAGAGCACTGGTTGAGGGAACATAAAACACAAGTCAGGTCAGAAGAGCACGAGATCAGTGAGAGAATTCTGGCAGAGATGAATTCTAGGCCAGGGCTTCCTAGGAAACACACAGGCAGTTGCCTCCAATAGAGAGCAGTTTGTCTCAATACATACATGTAGAGGGAGGTGCAGAAAGGATCGTTGTAAATTTCTAATGACCTCAGATTTCCATGTGGGTAATATGGCTCTTTTTTTTAAAGGTGAGAGGAGAAGGGGACAACAGAGGATGAGATGGTTGGGTGGCATCACCAACTCAATGGACTTGAGTTTGAGCAAGCTCCGGGAGTTGATGGTGGACAGGGAAGCCTGGTGTGCTGCAGTCCATGGGGTCTCAAAGACTCAAACATGACTGAGCGACTGAACTGAACATGGCTTTCGGGGGAGTGGGGAATTTTGTTTTTTGACGAGTCTCCATGGGTAGTAAATGAATCTGGAGATAGGAGCTTGAGACAATGCAGGTAGGGGCCGGCATGAGCACAGGTGTAGCTGGAAAATGTGCCTACAGGGCTGGCAGGGTGACAAATGCAGGCCTTGATGGGGAGAGTCAGCAGTGAACTTGATCAAATTGCTTAGACCTCTTTTCTATCTTTGTAGAGAGCTGCAACAAAGTTCATTTCCACCTGCCCTACCGGTGGCAGATGTTTCTTGCCAACAGCTGGATGGACCTTCCATTCATGGAGGATATTGAGAAGGCCTTTTGTGACCCCCAAAACTGCAGGTAAGTTGGTGGTGGGTCTGGCTTGTGAAATCTACAACATCATCAAAGGAGACCCTAGTGCTGTGCTTATGGGAAGAAGAAAAAGCAGTTCTCCTTCAGAATCCCATTCAGGTTAACTCTTGAGATTAAAATGGCAAATGACTGCTGAGTTAATAAATACGAAGGAATAAGTGGGGCAGATTTGAAGTCACCCAGAGCCTGGCTAATACGAGAGACTCTGGGAATATTTGCTAACTCAGGTGAAATAAACAGGGACACAAATATTTGTTCAGTTAATATTTGTCTGAACAACCAAATTCATAGGTTGGTTTGCAAACCTGTGAGCTCAGAAGAGCCTTTGGCTTAATTAATCTCATTGTTGGAGAAAATGATTTGAGTCATTTCATATAGTTCTAAGGCAGAATTTTGTTACATACTTTAGCATTTTATACCTGCCTCTATATTTGCTATTTTCTCTATCCTGGAGGTTTCTAAAAGGCTTCTTTATATTTCTGTTTCTGTTAGGGCTGATATGGGTGATGCTACCCATGACCATATTTATAAGCTGCATCCTACTTTATAAGGAAATACTTGAGGAGGGAAAATACAGACTTGTCACTGTCTTCAAATTTAGTGAGTCTGGTGGAGAGTGTGTTGCTATATTTTGCCACTAGAGGGTGGTGTCAGCCATTTTGTTTCTAGGTGTGTTTCTCGCACCAGGTAAATCTGAAGCAGGGTTTTTCAACCTTAGCGCTGTTGACTTTGGGGCCCAAATAATTATTTGGTTTGCTGGAGTATTTCAGCATCATCCCTGGTGTCTACCCACTACACGCCAGTTGTGAGAAACAAAAATGTCTTTTGACATTGTCAATGTTTCCTGGGTCTAATATCACTCCTGGTTGAACATTGCTGATCTAGGAGGTATTTTGTAGAGCAGTAACTCAAACTTTTTGGTTTCTGGAGCCCTCGATACTCTTAAAATGTACTGAGGAACCCAGAGATTTCAGTTTATGTGGATTTATAGCTATTGGTATTTACCATGTTAAAAGTCACAACTGAGAAAAACTATTTATTGATTCATTAAAAATAATGATAATAAACTCATTTGTGTTAACATAACATTTAAAGATAATTATATATAGTTACATGCAGACATGAGCGTATGTAAGTATAACTATAAAAATAACTTCTCCAAAACCAAACCAAACCAAATTCACTGAGAAGAATGACATTGTTTTATATTTTTGCAAATCTCTTTATTGTAAAATCAAACATTGTGTAGCCTTGAAAAACTCCACTGTGTACCTGTGAGGGTATGAAAGTGAAAAAGGTGGGTAATGTCCTGATATTATTATGAAAATAACTTTGACCTTGCAGGAGACACTGCAAAGGAGACCCTGCAAAGGGCTCGAACTACGCTTTGATAATGGAATTCTCTGGGCAAGGATACTGGAGTGGGTAGCCATTCCTTTCGCCAGGAATTCTTCCTGACCCTGGGATTGAATCCCAGTCTCCTACATTGAAAGCAATTCTTTACCATCTTTGCCACCAGGGAAGCCCAACTATTTAAATAATGTATAATAATTGAAAAAACTGACCTACTGTGAGTTTCAGAGTTTCTGACATTGAGCTAATCAATTGTTTTCTTTGGGGGATATTTTTTGAGGGAAGAACACATTTTGTGATTCCATTAAATATGTGGCAGTTTACGTTACCTCTCTGTATTTCAATTTTTCTTTTGTGTGTAAGACCGTAAGCTGTATAAAGGGAATTCAGAGACCCCTTTCAACTCTCAGTTTTTAATTCTTCCCTCTTATTAAGAAGACCAGAGTAGAGAAAACAGAACCATTTTGCTTCAGAGAAGCATTTTATTAATGCCAAACTTTCCCCTCTCAGCGTTTCTGTTGGCAATTATAACATCAGTTTCCAGAAGATGATTTGTGATCTTAATCCTGTCCGACGTATCTCCACACCTTCATCCGTCACAAAGCCGGCCAGTTCTCTCTTTACCACAAAATGGATTTGGTATTGGAGGGATGGAACTGACAAATGGGTTCCATATGGGGAGAGGGTGAGTACCATTCCTTCTTGTGGATACTCTTGTATAAACTTGACAACTTCAGAAGAATCTAGTAGTACAGTGTCTGACACCTATGTGATTACCCATGGAGCATGGATGTGGTAGAGAAAGTGGTGTTTTTTAATATTATACTCAGCAAGCATGTATTCTGACTGCATTATAAAAAATAACTATTTTTAAGAAACTCCTTGATATATGAGCCAGCCAAATATCCCTCTTTCTTCATTACCGGGGACTGTGGCAGAACCTTGAGATAGCTTTCTATTCACTAGTCCATAAATGGGCAGAGACTACCCGTTTCAGCCAGAAAAGTAGGCAAGAGTGAGAAATCAGAAAACTGATACATATGGTTGCTAGGATTTAGTCAGAGTCTGTATTCAGATGAACTAGAAGGTTTAGACTAACCCCCACAAGGACATAGTAATAGGGGAGAGAAATTTAGACAGGCAGAGGTTCCGTCTAGTGTCCCTTCTTCCTTTTGATTCAGATGATTAAGCAGAGAGGGAGGTAGCTAACGTAGGCAATGAAATTTGAGTGATGAGAAAGAGAAAAGCAAAGCAAAGCAAGAGATGGAAATGAAGCCAAAGGCAAAAAAGGGATGAGGATATCCCAGCATAAGTTGCTGGGCCATACATTTGGTTCTGAGCTCCCAAGCTGCCAAAGCAATCAAAGAAATACAATCTATTACAAGATACCTGGGGCTTCCCAGGTAGTTCAGTGCTAGAGAACCTGTCTGCCAGTGCAGGAGATGCCGGAGATGCCAGAGCTGCAGGTTCGATCCCTGGGTTGGGAAGATCCCCTGGAGAAGGAAATGGCAATCTGCTCCAGTAGGAGCTTGGTGGGCTACAGTCCATAGGGTCACAGAATCAGATACAACTGAAGCGACTTTGCACGCAGCACACAGTCAAGCTTAGTAGCACGCCTTGAGGGGCAGGAGTGTATGACCTGAAGGAACTGCCCAAGATGAGGGCAAGCCATAGCTCTAGAAAGCCAAAATCAAGGCTGTCATGTAGGCACAAGGCAAAGGTAACAAGACCTGGTTACTGAGACTGAGGTATAAATTCAAGTCTTGGAGAATATGTAATTGAAGGCTCTAGTGTTCAATCATTCACTCACTCACTCATTCAGAACTGGAGTTCTGAATGGGCTAGAGGAAGGTCTTGGAGATGGCTGGAGATTATATCTTTACATTTTGGGGGTGTTCCTTGCCCCATCACTCTCATTTGGACAGCGATACACCTATTGGATGGAGAAGGAAATGGGAAGCCACTCCAGTATTCTTGCCTGGGAAATCCATGGACAGAGGAGAGTGGTGGGCTACAGTCCATGGGGTGGCCAAGAGTCATGACTTAGCAACTAAATAACAATGCATCCATTGGAGTTTTATGTGCCTTCAGTCCAGCTTTGAACTGTTCTTTCTCATTGTGTGATGAGACGATAGCTGTGATGGTCTACTTCATGACAACGTTTTGGATGTGGTTAGACATCTTGTATTGGGTACAAGTTGCTCTGTACACTTGGGTCATATTTTATGGAATATGTAAATGGACTATTGCAAAACAGCTCTATTTTTCAGGCCTCCACCTAGGGTATCATCAGTTTCAGTAACATAGACTCCATACAGTGGAGACTAAAGAAGGGTGTGACTTGACTCCACCCAGGAAGCCTTTACAGTCTGGTTTGGGTGGCAGGATGCATTCCTGTCCAAATCCCATGGCTGAAATAAAGTTAAGAAATAAGATATCATGATAGGAGTTTCTTAAAACCCTACCCTGAAGTCTTTACCCTTTTATTTTTTTAAATAGAAAGACAATGAGCAGATTTCAAACATTGACTCTTCATACCTGGAGTCTCTTTTTCTATCCTGTCCGAGGGGAGTTGTGCCGTTTCAGGCGGGTTCACAAAACTACGAGCTGAGTTTCCAAGGTAAGTGTCTGCATTTGGCAGTGGTGCCTGTCCTTTGAATCTGGCCTGTGGCATCTGCGCAGGAATGGGAATAGAGCCGCGGGCATGCTGCACTCAGGACTGGGTTCTTTCTAGCACGGCAGGACCGGCGGGTGGGAGCCGATGGCAGTCCGAAGGGCTGCGCTCTAAGCCTTGACTGTGACACCCAGTAGCTGGGAACAGCACCGGGCACCCTGTAAAATGTGGGGGATTGGATTACATAGCCTCTGTGGGCACTTCTGGTTCTGCCATTCTAAATTCCTTATTCTAGGTGGGCTGCTTCCCTGAGACAGATTTTAGGTGTTAACGACTGCAGGAGAGACCTTGGGACTGTGGGTCCTTCAGAATTTTAGAACCATGCTGTTCCTTTTAGGCTTCATCATCTAGGTCAATGCTTTTATCCGTCGCCTTTTCTAAAGACTTTGAGTTCTGCCATGTTTATTGGAGCCCCCATAAAAAGATTTGGTTACCTTCTGCCCATCTGCCTGTTGTGTTTAGTAAGAAACCAGGGCAGAAACTGCTCTCCCTCTGAATGTACTGTCCCATTGGCTGCCTCTGTGCCCCCTGCCCCCAAATCCCGCCCACTACAGTGGAAAGCATCCTGGCAGTACATATCAAGAGATATTAAAATATGCTTACTATTTTATTCTCAGGAATCTTTCTAAGGAAATAATTCACAACAAGGAAAAAAATAAGCTATAGACATAAAGGTCTTTATTAAAGCCTCCTTATAGTACTAAATAGGAATAGCCTGTGTACCAGTAGAATTGTGACTGAATACATTAAAGTATTACATTTCAGTGGAGTATTAGGTAGTTGTTAAAAATTATGATTGTGAAAACTGTGCCTTAAAAGCAAAATTTGATACTGTTAAATGAAGAAGGCCAAACCCCAAGTTTATGTTTCTGTAATTAAAACAGAAATGAATATTTTTTCAGGAATTAATTTTTTAAAAATTTAATGTGTGTGGTACGTGCAACAATGTGTGCATATGGACCAAGACTAGAAAGCAATAGACGAAAATAAAAATTTCTTCTATTGGGTGGTCAAATTAAAAATGGACTTAAATTAAAATTTTTTGCAGTGGTATTCTATTGTTCTGACTGTTTAAAAAGGTGGTGGAGAAATGAAAACCAATATATCTTATTCCTGAATCTGGAGAAATTTTAATCCCATATATTTGTTCCCTTGGTTCATAGAAGCCAGTCCAGAGAAGTTTTCAGTGTTCCAGCCTATTTCCTTTCTATTTCTAATATGCTGTTTGTTCATTAAACTAATATTTGAGCTGTGTTGCCAGGCACTAATCTGAATGCTGGCAAACCAGGCACCTTCTGAAAATAATAACAGCTTCATGCAAGATGAAGCAATGTGATGAATCCCCAAGAGAATGGAGGGCTGGTGGGAGGGTGCCTGCTTTTATCTCAGGAGGACACTTTGGAAGGCAGTGGGCAGCCCATGCATGTGAAGGACGTGTGTAAGAACTGAGAGTAGACATTGAAACTTAAATACTTACAAGCTGGAAACGTCCAGAAGGTTTTGAGCAGAGTTGAGGCAGGATCTGAGTGTTCTTTTCCTTGTTGTTTGTTTTGTTGATGTGGATGTAAACCTATGGTGAGGCATAATTGGTACAATCAGGTATATCCATTTAAGGTGTCTAGTTGGATGAGTACTGACAAATGCATGCAGCTGCTATCCTAATCAAGATCTAGAACATTCCCATCAATCCAGAAAGCTTTCTCATGCTCCTTTGTAGTCAGTCTCCCCTCTGTAGCCAATTTACTTTCTGTCATTATAATTTAATTTAATCTATTCTAGAACTTCATATAATAGAACTTTGTGATGTGTACTTTTCATATGGCTGACTCCTCTCAGAATACCGTTTTTCACTCATCTATATTATTGCATGTAAAGTGGTCCTTTTTCATAGCTGAGTAAGCTTCCATTGCATGGATATACCATAGTTTGTTTAACCACTCACCTGTTGATGGATATTTGGATTGTTTTCACATTTTGCTTATTATAATAATGCTACTAGGCACAGTGAAATGTAAATCTTTGTGTGGATGTAGATTTCTCTTGGATAAATACTAAGAAGTGGATTTGTTGGATTGTATAGGTAGTGTATGTTTAGCTTGGTAAGAAGCTTCCAAATTCTTTTCCAAAGTGGTTGTGCCATTATATACTTTTACTAGCAATGTATGATGATTTACTTTTTAAAGAACTCATGCTGCAGTGTAGACCCAGGTGTACAACCTGTTAAAAACAACATTTCACATTCGAGGTAGGAAAATATATAGCTACCATGTTCCAACCCATAATCACTGATGCCTGGTTGAGGACAGTGGTCATGGGTGATGTAATCTGGCTGCCCTAGTTCTCTTTCCCACCTGACTTTGATTGAAAGATTTGATTAATTGCAATTTGCTCATTTACCTCTTTATTTTCTGGGTCTTATACTAAGGCCAGTGAAGGATATTCATTTTTATCATGAGCAGTTTCCATCTAAAAGGATTTTCTTGATTCATGCATGTATAGTTGAGTCATGAATATTAGCTATGTTAGTAGTCTCTGAAAAATAAAGATAAATCATTTCCTAGGACCAATTCATGATTTGTGTTTTTTCCTTGTTTTTCTGTCTAAAGGGATGATTCAGACAAACATAGTTTCCAAGACCCAAAAGGATGTCATAAGAAGGCCAACGTTTGTGTCTTACTGGGATGTGGAGCAGGCGAAACTCGGACAAGAGTGAGTGTCTGAACACTGCTTGCTGGCACACATAGCGATGTTCAAGTCACTCCTGAATCTGGACCCTGGTTTCTGAAATGTTCATGCTCACATACACTGCAATTTCCTTTTGCTTTGACTATGAGTAAGGTACTGGCTAAGTAGTACAGTGTGACTAAAAGCATTCTAGAGTAGGAGGTTTGTCTTTCCCTTAGGTTCACGAGGGACTTTGAGCAGACCTCTTACTCTGGGCTGTTTCCTCAGCTGAGAATGGCTGGCTCTGCCTAGGAAAGAATCAGATGCACCGTTAACTGTGTTTTTGTTCTGCTCTGGGTTCTTCTGAGTATCTTTAGTTTTGTGGAATGGATTTACAGGGGGTGGGAGGTTGAGGGAGAAATGGAGAGAAAAAGGGGATGTAGCAGCTGCCTAGTAAAGCCTTTGAGGAAAGAAAAAGTTGATGAAAATGGACTTTTTGAAGGAAATTTTGTTATAAGGGATTCAGTGTGACAGCTCTGTCTGCTCATGAAATCCAGTCAAAAACTACATTGCTGGGACTTCTCTGGGGGTCCAGTGGCTAAGACTTATGCTCCCACTGCGGGGACCTCGGTTTGATCCCTGGTCTGGGGACTAGATCCCACATGCCACAGCTAAAAATCCTGCATGCCGCGACTATTTGGTGCAGCCAAATAAATGTAAAGTAAAATGAACTGAGAAAACTGTTTGTGGGTTGTTGTGGAAAGAAGTAGCTTGAATACAATACTTTGGCCACCTGATTCGAAGAACTGACTCATTGGAAAAGACCAAGATTCTGGGAAAGATTGAAGGCAGGAGGAGAAGGTGACAACAGAGGATGAGATGGTTGATGGCATCACCGACTCCATGGATGTGAGTTTGAGCAAGCTTCGGAAGTTGGTGATGGACAGGGCAGCCTGGCATGCTGCAGTCCGTGGGTCACAAAGAGTCAGACATGACTGAACTGAACTGAGCTTAAATCCCGCTATCACATACCCAGAGGAGACACATGGCTTTAGGATAGAATAAAGGCTGTGAGTGCTACTCTGAACAATCTGAAGAGAAGTGAATGATAGCATTTTTGATGAGCACCTTACAACATATTACTTGAATCTGTTTTGCACTATACCAGTACAGTATGACGGAGAAGGCAATGGCAACCCACTCCAGTGTTCCTGCCTGGAGAATCCCGGGGACGGAGGAGCCTGGTGGGCTGTCGTCTGTGCAGTCACACAGAGTTGGACACACTGAAGTGACTTAGTAATAGCAGCAGCAGCAGCAGCAGGACAGTATGAAAATCAGAGCTTACCATATAAATTGGGACCAGCTTCTTTCATTCCAAAAGAATTTTCATTTTATGAAAGGAGGTTTTTAAAGAGTTTTTTTCCTTAAAGCATTTTTTAAAATGTAATTTTCTCATAATGGAAAATATCAAACTTAAAGAAAATTATGTGATAAACCCCTATGTACATGTTAGGGGTTTTCTATTTCAGGGTGGAGAACCCTCAAATGTATGGTTCCTCTGAATACAGTTCATACAGGAAAGACAGGATTCTTTCCCCTATACCACTAAAGTATTTAAATATTTATCATTTGGCAAAGAAGCTGTAAGACAAACTTTACTTTTTTTTAAATATTACTTTTTGGCTATGCCTCAGGGCATATGGGATCTTAGTTCTCCCACCAGGAATCAAACCCATGTCCCCCTTGTATTGGAAGCATGGATTCCTAACCATTGGACCACCAGGGAAGTCCCCTAGCCTTACTTAACGCTAACACATTAGGACTTAGAAAATTTCCAGAGGAACCTCAGCTTAATCGAAGCACAAAAAATCACTTGGGTGTATCAAACAGGGAGCCAGATGAATTTCTTTCTCTCTCTTGTTTCTAGCCATCCGCAGGGGCAGACCTCGTCAGAACCTTACATCAAGATATATCTTCCCAAACCGGACACAAGCGTCTCATTCTCAAATGACTTTGAGGTACTGGCTTTTTACTTTGTAGTGGGTGAATTGTTTAAAGATGGAACAAAGTACTTTGCTACAAATGTGTGTAGTTGAATGAATGAATGAGAGAAAGAAGTGAATGAATCACTTCTACAAAACTCTTGAAACAAGATTCAAAGGCTAACATCCAAATGGTGACTGTGTCATGTACCACTTTTCCCAAAGGAGAAGGGCACCTCATTGTTTCCAGAGTTCTGGCACACACGATCGCCTTGGGACAGATGCTTGTAAAATAGATATTTGCTTCTCTACCTTACAGATGAGCAAACTGGAACTCACAGTAAGAGCAACTTGTCCATTAATTGGAGTTAAAAAACAGGTTTCTATGGCACTCAAAGTGGGCCTCAGCTCATCACCGTACCTGGTTGGGGCAACTCTTTTTTAAAACATTTTATTTAGTTATTTATTTTTGGCTGTACTGGGTCTTTGTTGTTAGTTTTCTCTAGTTGTGGCAAGCAGGGGCTAATCTCTAGTTGTGGTACACAAGCTTCTCATTGCAGTGGCCTTCTCTTGTTGCAGAACATGGGCTCTAGGGCATGCAGGCTTCAGTAGTTGCAGCACACGAGTTCAGTAGTTGTGGTGCCCGGACTTAGTTGCCCTGCAGCATGTGGAATCTTTCTGGACCAGGGATTGAACCCATATCCCCTGCATTGTCAGGTGGATTGTTAACCACAGGATCACCAGGGAAGTCCTGGGGCAAGATTCTTCCTGGATCATTTCGCCACATCAGAGGCTAGCTTCGGGTGCAGGCAACTCTGCTTGGGTTCCTTGGGTACCTGCATTGCCTCTCCCCCTGCACTGCTTTAAACAAAGAACTCACCAGGTCACTGGACTGAATCACACACCTGGGGGTTGGGGAGGGGAGGAGCGTGTGCTCCGTTTGCCTTCAGGCAATGCTCTGTTAGCCTTGGACAGAGGGGCTCTGGGCCATCTAGTTCATCACTGGAATAAACTATCAGATGTGGAAACTCTAAGCCAGCTTATCCTACTTGATGTCAGAGGCCTGGCAAGGATACTCCATGGCATAGATGGCCACACATATGGACATGTGCTGTGCTAAGTCGCTTCAGTCGTGTCCGACTCTTTTCGACCCTATGGACTATAGCCCTCCAGTCTCCTCTGTCCATGCGATTCTCCAGGAAAGAATACTGGAGTGGGTTGCCATGCCCTCCACTAGGCGATCTTTCTGACCCAGGGATCGAACTCCCAGTCTCTTGGATCTCCTGAATTGGCAGGCAGGTTCTTTACCACTAGCACCACCTGGGAAGCCCACAGAGGGACATGATGTGAAAGTGAAAGTCGCTCAGTCGTGTTTGACTCTTTGTGACCCCATGGACTATACAGTCCATGGAATTCTCCAGGCCAGAAGACTGGACTGGGGAGCCGTTCCCTTCCCCAGGGGATCTTCCCAACCCAGGGATCGAACCCAGATCTCCCGCATTGCAGGCAGAGTCTTTACCAGTTGAGCCACAAGGGAAGCCCCATCATGCCTTAAATATTTCCTGCTTCACATTTACATATTTTTAAATTTCTTTCAGTTGATTGAAATTCATAACAATACTCCAGAATATGTTGAAGTAAGTGATCATTTTAAAGCTTCCATGAGAAATTTCAGGATTGAAAAGATAAAGAAGGTCCAGAACCTACAGCTCTTGAAGGCTTTTGAAAGGTGAGTGGCCACCTTATCAGGCTTCCCTTGACATAAAGTTTGAAAGGATTAGTGAAGACCTGTCTTTGAAGATTTATATTCACTTTTTCATTGTAGTGGTCAACAGTTTCTTCAGTCTGTAGTTGTGTTTTTATAGTGTAAGCTCAAACGTCTCTCTTTCAGTTTTAGCTTTACAATTAATGCTTTCATGTGTCTGTCATTTAAAAGTTTGTATGTATTTATTTTTTTATAACTATTGCCTTAATGTTAGTAGCTCCATTCTGAAAGCTGATGGAATACAATTTTAAGATAATTAGACTTTAGTTGGGATTTACATTATTAACTGGAGTGGGTGAGGAATGTTCTCCGTGTTAAGTCTCACGTTTTCCATATTAGCAAGAAAAAGGAGATGAAGAGAGACGAGCAAATCCTATTTTGTGCAGCAAGACGCAGCAATGTGATGTCTATCTGTAAGAATAATTTTGACTGGCTCTCACATGGAAGTCATGATGCCAAATATGGAAAAGGTTTGTATGGAATAGAGAAACTGAACTAGTAGAGCCAACACTCAGCTCTACTATACACGATCCTATTATGAGATATATGTAATTATTTTGTATTAACCAGCACCTCTAGGCTTTTGCATTCCTGGAGAAAAATATGCTCATGTTAATCTGAAATTTCCAAATTAGAGTGGGAAATCACTGTGGGACTTGATTCCTGCACTTTAGCCCTGCTTCCTTCCTGTCTTCTGTGTTTTATGGGAAGGGTGGAGTGCAGAGACCAGAGCACCTCGTATATCTTGCAGAGTCTTCCCTCTTGTTGATGACTTTGTCTACCATTGCTACTCAGTTCCGGCCATGGCTCTTCCTGACCTATGTCCATCCCTTCTCTTGCCACTGATGGGTTCTAATCAAAGATGGAGATGAGGTCTTTTCCCATCACAGGCCATGCTGGTTACACCAAATCTTTTCAGCTCTTTCTTTTTGTTCCTAAATTTCTTCATGCAACTCAAAATCCAGAAACCCAACCAAACAAAAACCAAAGAATCACTCACCTTAAGGCAACAAGTAATAGTTTATCAATTTCAATTAATTTTTGCACAGAATTCAGATTTTGCAATATAGACTCCTTTCCTTCAAAGGGCAGAAAGACATTTGCTGTTGTTCAGTTGCTAAGTCATGTCCAATTCTTTGCAACCGCATGGACCAAAGCATGTCTGGCTCCTCTATCCTCACTGTCTCCTGAAATCTGCTCACACTCATGTCTATTGAGTCGGTGATGTCATCCAATCATCTCATCCTCTGTCGCCCCATTCTTCTCCCTTCAGTCTTTCCCAGCATCAGGGCCTTTTCCAGTGAGTCAGAGCTTCACATCAGGTGGCCAAAGTAGTAGAGCTTCAGCTTCAGCATCAGTCCTTTCAACGAATTTTCAGGGTTGATTTCCTTTAGAATTGATTGATTTGCTTTCCTTGCAGTCCAAGGGACTCTCAAGAGTTTTCTACAGCACCACAATTGGAAAGCATCAATTCTTCAGTGCTCAGGCTTTTTTGTGGTCCAACTCTCACATCTATACATGACTACTGGAAAAACCATAGTTTTGATTATATGGACCTTTGTCAGCCAAGTGCTATCTTTGCTTTTTAGTGTGCTTTCTAGGTTTGTTATAGTTTTTCTTCCAAGGAGCAAGCGTCTTTTAATTTAATGGCTGTAGTCACCATCTACAGTGATTTTGGAGCCCAAGAAAATAAAATCTGTTACTGTTTCTTTTTCCCCATCTATTTGCCATGAAGTGATGGGACCAGATGCCGTGATCTTAGTTTTTTGAATGTTGAGCTTTAAGGCAGCTTTTCCACTCCCCTCTTTCACCCTTGTCAAGAGGTTATTTTGTTCCCTTGGCAATAATAAAAATAGGAAATTTTGTCAGGAAATGGTTGTTGCTCTGGTGAGTGTGGTGATATCATTGATTATCAGAGGTTGTCTTGTAGTTGAGGACGATAGATTGAGTGTCTGACCAGTTCTGCCAGGGTCAACTGTTGGCTCACGTCACATCTCTCATCTCTCCCTTTTCCTTTCCCCAGGACCTTCCCACAGTAGTAAATGTGTTTCTTCCTTAAATTGTACACAATATAAAATGGCCTCTGTTGGAGTATCTTTGGTTTATTAGTTACAACTCAACTTGCTTGCATGAACTGGACCACTGTGATATCAACAGTTGGTCATTCTACCCAGTGGCTCAACACTGTACCTGTGAATTCTGCAGAGTTGCAAATGTTTCTGTTAATTCAGTAACAGAATTAATTCAGGTTAGTTAATTCAGGTTATACACTGTATTCAAGTGTACTTGCATAATAAAAATTTTCCTAAGTACAAAGAAAAGTTATTAGTATCAGTAAGGTATTGCTGACATATACTTGGTCAATGCCTGTCACCTGATTATGTGTAAATAATCTTATAAATTACATACCTTCTTTTATAATAATTCTTAACCTTTTTCTTCTGATTATTTCTAGGAATCTACTTCACAAAAGATGCCATTAGTTCCCATAAAAATTGCCCGTTTGATTCCAAAAACATCGTTATGTTTGTAGCCCGAGTCCTGGTTGGAAATTTCATTGAAGGCCATATGAGTTACCAGAATCCCCCTCCGCGGTATGACAGCTGTGTGGATACAAGATTGAATCCCTCTGTTTTTGTCATCTTTCAGAAAGATCAGATTTACCCAGAATATGTGATTGAATATACCGAAACAGAGAAACCCTGCGTGATTAGTTAGAAATGATGGCTACAGCGTCATAAAGGATGCCATAACCACTCTGTTCACTTACTGAACCCAATCTCCCAGAAGGATAATAGTTAAACTTACGTCTTCTCTCCTCTAAATGCCTTGGATTAGTGGTTCCCAAACTTTGCTGCACATTTGAATCATCTGGTAAGCGTTAAACAACTCCACTGTCCAGGGGACTTCCCTGGTGATCCAGTGGTTAAGACTCCGCACTCCCAATGTAGGGGGCACAGGTTCAATCCCTGAACTAAGATCTGGCATGCTGCACAGTGCATGCAGCCTTAAAAACAAAAATTCCGATGTCCAGATTACACCCCACTCCAACTAGATCACTTTTTGGGGGTTGACATCCAAGAAGATGATTGAAATGTGTCATAAGTTTGGGAATCACTCATTACCTTAGATGTAACTGGTAAAGACTCACTTCTACAGCTTCTGTTAATGCAGCAACCTTTCTCCCCCAACTACTCTTAGTTGATTGCATGATTTGGTTTTGTTTTGGTTAAATTAAAAGAAAATTTATTTGGGAAATTTAAGTGAAATCTAAAAATTCCTATTGAAATAAGGATATAAGACAGTACAGCCTTGGAAAATTGTGGAAAGCTAGGGGAAAATACATAGGAATATAGTTGCAGGGGGAGGAAACGTAAGGGCAATTTAAATGCTAGCAAGATATAACTGCAGTACTGTACCTTATCTCTGTGGTGAAACTGATTTGAGGGCATGCATTTCTTTATCTCTACGTTTATTTAGGGTACTCCATCCAAGTTGACGCTTTATGAAATGCAATAAAAAGAGCTGCTAAGTATGGCTCAGAGCGCAGCAACCAACTGTAATTAACTGCCCATTTGGGCAAAGTAGACATTTATATTCTAACTAACAGAGAAGGCTTTTTTTCAGGTCAGACATACATGAAGTGCTGGTATTTTGGGTGGACCGAGTTGCAGTAACCAGATTCACACAATCACGACTGATAAATCCGAGTGCTGTTGTAGTCGTTCGCTATGTTAGTTGAGGCTCACCAAGCAATTAGGGCCATTCTACTAAAGGATGGGCCCCCTAAGGAGGTGAGGTTAGTTTCCTAGGGAGACAGAATCAGAACGAAGGGAACAGTGCCGCAAACAAGCCTTGCGCCTGCGAGGGGCTTCTTTTTCTAAATATAACAGATTGTGTGGAATTGTAGCACAATCAGTTTTTAGAGCAGCTGAGGTACCTGGACCAAGAGTTCCTTTCTTATTATGAATGAGGGTTTTCCTTCCAATTTTCAACATTCCATATCAGTCGCCAACATTTCATGTTATAATTACTTCCAGCAGATACGTTATAAAAATTAATTAGCATTAGGGTTGATTTTATATTAGGTTTTAGATCGGTGCAAAGATCTCTACAACTCTCTGACTTAAAAGGGCTCCAACAGGGACTTACTTCCCTGGCAGTGCAAAGGTTACGGCTTCAAGCTTCCACTGCATGGGGCACGGGTTCAAACCCTGGTCAGGAAACCAAGATCCCACATGCCACGTGGCCTGGCCAAAAAAAGTTAAAAAACCTTAAAAAAAAAAAAAGAAATCTACAGATTGTCGAATTGGAGAAAATGAGGAAATACTATATTCTTGCAGGCGAGCTGTAGGTCATACACGAATGTCTAGTGAGACATTCTACATTCGTATAGGGTGCAGAGTAATTCCTTATTGTGAGCAGCTGCCCAGTACTGCCAGATAGTCAGCATACTTGGCTCTCACATACTACATGCCAGTATCGCCCTCCCCCATTATGATGGCAGCCACAAACCTTATCAGATCTATTCACCATTTTCAGAGCAAGTAATTTGTATGATAACATCCCCTTTGCTGTCCTGAGATGATTTAAATACTACGATCTACATGAATTTTTTTTCTTAAGAAATCAATTTATTGCCCTCACTATTATAATGGAGAAACAGAAGGCAAGAAGTTTGTAATAATGATAAAATGAATATCAATATGTAAATGCTCCAGATGACCATGCTATAGGACATCATGAAATAGATATTTATTTCTACTGAAAATGAACAGGTTTGGATTTAAGAGTCGATTGGAGGCTACTTTCTATAAAGAAGTACTGGAAAGATTAGAAGTATAGGTGACACCAGAATGAAAAACCAGTATTAGGGTAAGTCATAACAGGCCATATACCTTTTCTGCATGTAGTTAGGGGAAGAACGAAATTATCTTAATTGAAATAAGTTTAGCAGGACAAGACAAATGACAGATTGTCTAAGAGGAAAACAAGAATTATATTCTCTCAGGCGAGCTGTAGGTCCTACATAAGTATCTAGTAGGACCTTAAAAAGTCGTATAGAGTACCGAATAAGTCTTCTTTGTATGGGACTAACCCATACACCATAGGGACATCTCTTATCCCTAGCCGGATCCACCCAATGCCAGTAAAAGTCCGCAATTATTACAAAACCAACAACCCATCAATTTCCAAAAGACCACAATGAGACTCACTCAGTTAATATCTAGCATCTTTAGATTAGCTTACTAGCCTTCATAAGGAGTCCTCCTATAGATTAAATTGGATGCTTGCCTCCCAAATCCCTGGTTTTTAAAACACTTTGCATCTTGCTTTGATCATTTTTTTTTCCATTTATTTTTATTAGTTGGAGGCTAATTACTTTACATCATTACAGTAGTTTTTGTCATACATTGAAATGAATTAGCCATGGATTTACATGTATTCCCCATCCCGGTCCCCCCTCCCACCTCCCTCTCCACCCGATCCCTCTGGGTCTTCCCAGTGCACCAGGCCCGAGCACTTGTCTCATGTACCCAACCTGGGCTGGTTATCTGTTTAACCCTAGATAATATACATGTTTCAATGCTGTTCTCTTGAAACATCCCACTCTCCCAGAGTCATTTTTAGCACCTGCCTGACTTAAAGTTGTCCGCTTTTCGCATTAGAGTGTAAGCTCCATGAGAGCCGAGTCAACCTGTCCTGTTCACTGTACCACGCATACCCAGCTGAGTGCTTGATACACTGGATAAATTTTGTTGAATAAAGCTCAGCTTCTTATAATTCAGCAGCTGAATTGTATTTCTTCTTGTTCTCCTCCCAGCTCCATTTGAGATTGTCTAATACAAGGAAATAAATATTAATTTTGGCTCCACTGCGTGTACTTGCTCTATTTCCAGGTATCTCCTAAAATGTAATCACCTGCAGACACCTGTTTTTTCAGTGGGGGGGTAAAGGATGTGTGTTGCCCCTTCCAGCTTCATCATTCCAGGACTCAATGACCAAGGAGCTTTTAGCACACTGCCAGGGGAAGACTGGGTGGTGGTGATGGAGAAGCCTACAGTGGGTTGGTACATCTTGTTTAGGGGAGAGGGAGACAGTGGGAACTGCTGACACCCCTTAGGAGTGGGAACAGGGCCAGTGGGAGGCAGCTAAAAATGTAAATGGTCAGCAGAGTTGTCCAATTAGTAACGCCTTCAAAAGTCCTTCTCCACTTTTTTTTTTTTAAGGAAGGAGTATTTGTATTTATTTTGGTGGCACTGGGTCTTTGTTACTGTGTGTGTGCCTTCTCTAGTTGCAGAAATTGTGGGCGTCTCATCACATTGGCTTCTCTTGTTTCAGAGCACCAGCCGTAGGTGCATGGGCTTAGTTGCCCCAGGGCATGTGAAATCTTCCTGGACCAGGGATCCAACCCATGTGCCCTGCATTGGCAGGCAGTTTCTAGGGCTTCCCAGGTGGCGCTAGTGGTAAAGAACCTGCCTGCCAATGCGGGAGACAAAAGAGACACAGGTTCGATCCCTAGAGAAGGAAATGGCAACCCACTCCAGTATTCTTGCCTGGAGAATCCCATGGATAGAGGAGCCTGGCGGGCTGCAGTCCAAGGGGTCCCAAAGAGTCGGACACGACTGAAGTGACTTAGCACTAGCACTTCCTAACTGCCAGGAAGTCCCACCCATTTGTTTTTAATCACAAAGCTTTGGACGGAGACAGAGAACATCTATATGGCAGCACGTGCTGCTCACTTGTGTCTGACTCTTTGTGACCCCATGGACTGTAGCTTGCCAGGCTTCTCTATCCATGGGATTTCTCCAGCCTAGAATACTGGAGTGGGTTGCAACTTGCTCCTCCAGGGGATCTTCCCAACTCAGGGACTGAACCCGCATCTTCTACACTGGCAGGCTGATTCTTTACCACTGAGCCACCTGGGAAATACGGTAGCATTCAGTTCAGTTCAGTTCACTTGCTCAGTCGTGTCCGACTCTTTGCGACCCCATGAACTGCAGCATGCCAGGCCTCCTTGTCCATCACCAACTCCTGGCGTTTACCCAAATTCATATCCATAGATATGATTAAAGTGAAGGTAAAACTGCCATTTGATTTGGACATTAATGGAAATAAAATAATATATAGCCAACCCATCGCTGTTAAAGTGCCCACACTAGAATATATAGAAGTGATATCAAACCAAGCAAATGTTTTGAGTTTTTTCATTTAGATGTATGTTTTATTTATTTATTTGTCATAGCAGGCTCTCAATTTTTCAGAAATGTTTGATGTTGCTACTCCCCAAGGTTCGATCCTCCCACCTCTGCTTTTCTTTATTTGTGCTGAATGAGCTTATCAACTGTCAAAGCTCCAATTTCCTTATACTCTGATGACACTCAAATCAATATTCTCTTCAATCTTTCTTAAGCTCTTGACCTGTAAATTCAACTGCCCACTGAGCATCTTGCCATGGACCATCCACTGCAAACTCAACACAATAAAAATTAAGATAATAATCCCTCAGCTGTTTCTCTTCTGTTTTTTTCTTAATCCTGTCTTGGTTTTCTAGAAATCCATTCTTTATTACGGGTAGAGATCTTTCCAAAACATCTATCCCACATTAGAAGTGTTCAGGAAAATGACAGGTACTTTTGTTAATTATGAAAATAATGTTAGGATTATGTAGGGAAATCTACCATTTTTAAAAGTCATGCCTAACGAAATATTTAGGATTGAAATATCTAGAAATATCTACAAATTGAAACTTACAAATTCTCAGCCAAAACAATCAGGCACATAAAATAGGACAAAGTGTTGAGATTTTATAACTTGAGGAAATCGATATATATGGGTGCTTATTTCACTATCTTCTAATTTCCTGCTTGAAAAATTGTCTACTACTAATTAAAAAAAAAACACCTATCCTGGGACTTCCCTGGTGGTATAGGGTTTAAGAATCTGCCTGCCAGTGCAGGGGACAATGGTTGGATCCCTGATCTGAGAAGATTCCACTTGCCAAAAAGCAACTAACCACATGTGCCACAACTACTGAGCCTGTGTGCTGAAATTATTGAAGCCTGTGCTCCGCAACAATAGAAGCCACTGCAATGAGAAGTTTGTGCACTGCAACGAAGAGGAGTCCCGGCTAGCTACAACTAGAAAAAGCCCTTGAGTGGCAATGAAGTGCAGCCAAAAATAAGTATTAAATCAAATAACATTTATATGTAATATTATATATGATAATTTTATAATATAATATTAAATCATCATAAAAAACACATCCTACAATATAGCCAAGCACTGTTTTGTTTTTTTTTAAAGATTTATTTATTTATTTATTTAATTTTGGCTGTGCTGGGTCTTCACTGCTGCGTGAAGGCCTTCTTCAGTTGCAGTGTGCAGGCTTCTCATTGCAATGGTTTCTCCTGTTTCAGGGCACAAGCGGTAGGCGCATGGGCTTCAGTAGTTGCCACATGTGGGCTCAGTACTTGTGGCACATGGCTTAGTTGCTCGTTGGCACATGGGATCTTCCTGGACCAGGGAGAGAACCTGTGTCCCCAGCATTGGCAGGTGGATTCTTTGCCATTGGGCCACCAGGGAAGCCCCTAGCCAGGCACTGTTTTTTTTTTTTTCCAGGCACTGTTTTTAAGCACTGGGAATACAGCAAGGAACAAGACACACAAAATTCCTGCCTTCAGAAGCTTGAATTCTACAAATACATGAATAAATAAGAAGAAAAACATGAGTTATAACTTCCATCCAGAGACCAGGGTGCTACTTTAGAGTGGGAGGTTAGGCAAGGCCTTACCGAAGAGAAGACATTTAAGCTCAGTGTTGAATGACAAAAAGAAGACTTCTAGATGGGGATGCCGAGGAGCATTCTAGCCAGAGGGATCACTCCCCAGCTGAGATTCCTTTAGTTGCTTCCCAAAGTCTTCTGGAAGTCCAACTTTCTTAACATGGCAGAAAAGATCTTCAAGGACCTGGCCAGTGGACTTCTCTTTAGCTTCTTCACATGCTATTAATTTATTTAATCTTCACAACCACCTTGCAAAACAGCAACTCGACCAGGTGAGATCCTCAATCATGTTTTATCCATCTCAGTACTGCATTAAGAGTTGGCTCAAAAAATGCTCATTAAATCAGCATCGCCTTGGGCAAAAAGCTCTTTAACAAACCTTCCCTGGTGGCTCAGACGGTACAGAATCTGCCTGTAATGCAGGAGACCTGAGTTCAATCCCTGGGTGGGGAAGATCCCCTGGAGAAGGGAATGGCAACCTACTCCAGCATTCTTGCCTGGAGAATTCCATGAACAGACTGTATTCCTGGCAGGCTACAGCCCATTGCATTACAAAGAGACACACAGGACTAAGCCACCAACACTTAAACCTACAGGTCTAAACCAGGGCTGTCTAACAGAAACATAAAGTGAGCCCCGTGTGTAATTTTACATTTTCTCACCGCTGCCTTAGAAGTGAAAGAAACAGATGAAATTATAACATTTTATTTAAATATTATCAATTTAACATCGTTACTATAAAATTTTAGTTTCTGCATTCTAAAGCTTCCAAATCCAGTGTGTGTATATTTCACACATCCCACTTCAAACTGGTCAATTTCAAGAACCCAAAAGCCACCTGTGGCTAATGGCTAAGTTCTGAAATCACCTCCCTAAGGCCTCCAACTATTCACCTTCTACCACATTACCTGTTCCATCTTCTTTGCAGCCTTTCCTAGTATCTCCCAATTCCCTCCGAGTATACAAGTCCCTCGAGGTGAGGACTTAACCTTGAAGGGTGCTGACGCAGAGCAGGCGCCGGATCAGGACTGTCCTCGCCAGATCTGCGCCCCGATGGACCCGGGCCCCGGGGCTGTCCTCTTGCACGGCCGTCCCTCACCCGCCCTTTCTCAGGCCCTTCCCGGGAACCGGGTTTGAAGTCGTGAACGTGACTGGGAGGAGTCTGCCCGCCTCGGATTTCCGCACAGGGAGCCGGGCCGCGACCATGGCGGAGCCCACCGTGTGTTCCTTCCTCACCAAAGTGCTGTGCGCCCACGGCGGCCGCATGTTCCTGCAGGACCTGCGCGGCCACGTGGAGCTCTCCGAGGCCCGGCTGCAGGACGTGCTGCGCCAGGCCGGGCCCGACCGCTTCCTGCTGCAGGAGGTGGAGGTGCGGGAGGGCCCGTGGGACAGTGTCCTCCGCGCGCCTCTGCGCCCGCTACCAGCGCGGCGAGTGCCAGGCCTGCGACCAGCTGCACCTCTGCCGCCGCCACATGCAGGGCAAGTGCCCGAATCGCGACTGCTGGTGAGGCTGCGGGCCGGGCGGGGCGGGGTGGGGCGGGGCGCGACGGTCTCGGCGCGGGGGCCGCGGGCCTGACCCGTCCAGCCGGGAGCGGGACCCAGAAGGAAAGGAGAACGGGGGTCGTC